ATTACATTGCCTTTAAGCTCACTTTAGTTGAATGTAAGCGATGATGGCTTGCACTGGATTAGCCGGCCATCTCTGGACCTGTGCAGTGTATCCTCTGTGGTAGATCCCGAAAGCCTCCGGGTCCTGTTTGAACATACGCTTTGCTTCTCCACTGGTCGTGCTGTACAAAACTTCATTAATGTAGCGGAAACGAGCTGACTCCAGACGCTGCTCCATGCGGGACCGGAGGGAGGACGAGCGGTCCTGCTGCCCCTCTTCTTCTGGTACCACAGGCTCCTCTTCCGTCTCCGCAGGACCCTCCTGTTGGACCTGCTCCTGTTGGACCTGCTCCTGTTGGACCTTCTTCTGGCTGAGCAGCATTTTGCGCAGCTTCTCTCTTTTCAGAATCTCTGCTTTGCTCAGCTCAGGTTTCAGTCTTTTGCTGGGAGATGGGTGCTGATCCTCTGTGATCTCCACTATAGGTTCCTCTGCTTTTTGTTTTGATCCACCAGCAGGAGATTTTTTTTCAGCTTTTTCAACATTGCCACCAATTTGCGGCTTCTCTGTTGTAGCGGCTACAACAGTTTCCTCTTCAGGGTTTTTCCTTTTCTGTGGTTTAGGTTGCTTTACCTTTTTCTTTGCTGGAGTTTGACTCTTGGTATTTGGAATTATTTTGACGTCTTCCTTTGGCTTGTCTGGCTCTGCAGATTCTTTATTGACTACTTCCTTTTGCTTATTCTCTCTGAATTTATTATTAGATGTCCTCTTGTTCTTCATTTTGGTTTTCCACTGTTTTCTGCTTAGTTGCTCATTGTCCTCTGGTTTATTTCCATTTACTGTGTCGGATTGGGTCACTTTTATCTCTTCCGTCTTGCCCACAGATGTGGTTTCTGCCTCCGGGGTCACTAAGGGAGAGAAATACATTTTTATATAGTTAATATCAAAATGTCCTGTTTCAGAACATATTCAATGCTTAAATACTTATCCACACAAAAATATAAATTAAATGATGGAATGCATGTAATTACTCACCAATTTTTTTATATTTGTTCCTTTTGTTTGGTTTCTCCTCATTAGCAGTCTGGTCTGCGTCCTCTGCTTTCTTTCGCCTTTTACTTCTCTTCTTCTTTCTCTTTCTCTTGGGGTGTGTCGGGACCACTTCTGCCTCACTGTCACTTCCCTGCTCTTTGTCTTCGTTCTTCCACTCTGGTACCGACCCCAGGGTCTGCAGGGTCCGCATCAGGCTCTTCTTTCCAACCAGCTTAGCCTGATCAGGGGATACATTTCAGATATCGTAATTAGCCCTTTAACCTAAATACTCAGTATTCTTTCAAAACAGTGTGAAAACCACAATATTAATAGCTTCCTTTGTAACAAATTGCCTGAATGAAAAATGTGTTTTGAAATTGTTTTATTAAGAAAGAGGGAAGAATTATGTCAGCATAATATTTGTCCTTCTGTTACCAAATGTGGCATGATAGCAAAACAATAATTACTTTGACTTTTTTTGTTAATTTATGTTTTTTTCCTATTCAAATCCATCCGTCTGGCATTTTTCAAGGAACATAATTTAAACAAAAACCAAACACACTTTAGAACATGTGCAGGTAAGTTGCCTGGCTATCATACATTCATTATGTTGCACCATTTTCTGCTTTGTATGATACACTTACACAACTCAAGGTAACATACAGCCATCATAATGGAAATAACTGCGTTTACAACAGGTTGCTTATGCATTTACATGTACCTTGGCATTTGTGCTGCTGTTCGCCTTCTGGTTGTTTCTGAGGACGGTTTCGGTTAGGACTTTAGCGTCTTGTTCATCACTCCATTCTTCTTCCTCATTAAACATGATTCCCGAGGACTGTAAAATCAAAACCAAAAATGTAAAAGACAGGAGAAAACGTCTGCGGGTGTCACTTCTTCTCTATTGACGTGTTAACTCTGCTAATTCAGTCACTCACCAGTTTGTCTCTAAAGCAGAACAGCGAGATATGTTACTTGTCAATCGGCTAGTTTTGTTAAAGTCGGTGATGGCACAAAAACGTTTAATTTAATAACCATGTAACTACATGAAGTTGCTTCAGAAATATCTTGTCAAAAGCAAAAGCCACGTTGGTTTGTCTCATGTGCTTGAAGGAAGCAAAACAGAACTATATGCGCATGTTGATGACGTAAAGACACAGACGGGGATTTATGGGATATGTAGTCCAGTGCCCACTTCTCATTATACATCCATGCCAGTACCTTACCAGATATTTTAATACAACTCGTATCTACTCTAAAGTATTCATGAACTATGTATGTGATTCTGCACCCTAAATTAATACTGACTTGACTTAAATAATGATATCAACAAAACATATCAAGATATAGGCCTATTGTAATAAATGTGCAATTGTGTACGAAGAAAAGTCAGTGTATCTTCGTCTCATTTGTTTTTCTTTCTTTTCTTTTCATTTCTTTCTTCTATGGGATTTTTGGTTTTAAAATGTCACCACCAGACTGTGAAGGCTTTTGCTTTGAAATTACTTCCGGGAGTTTCGCCCCGCCACTCGCTCAAAGATTTAGCAATGTAAAAATGTGTGTTTCTTTTAATCAGTTTTATCCAACATTTTGTCAGTATTTCAAACTATTTGTTTTAATGTTTTTATTTTCTAATAATGATTTTATATTATAGTTGGAATAAAAAATAATACCTAAACTTCAAACTAGAAAGTAAACAGTCCATGTTCACTTTACAAAAAAAAGAAACAGCCATAGTATCATATATTACAATATAAATTATGTTGTCTTTTGGCGCTATATTTTCTTAGGGATGTCCAAATAACCTGTGGTGGGAAGTAACTAACTTTACTCAATTACTGTATTGGTTGAGTATTTCCATTTAATGCAACTCTTTACCTCTACTTCGCTATCATTTGTCTAATAAGCCATACCTTTACAACTTCAGCAGTAAATTATATTAATATTAATGTATTAGTACGTCACTGATGTAAAATATGTAAAACATTTTTAATATAATTATAAGGGACCTTCTTTTGTTCTTCAACTCAAATATAAATGGTGTACTTTAACTCCACCACATTTATTAAATATCTTTAGTTATTTTTCCGATTTTGATTAATCATTTGAATAATAATCAGCACTTAAAAAAGACTGTAATTACACAAAGGAGTAACATTCACAAGCTACCCTGCAGCATTACAATAATTAAAACTAGCTCCAACTTTGCCTGCTTTGTTAACACTTAAATGCATCAATAATTGTAATCAAAACATATCATATATATTAGTTTGAAATGGACCAATCTGCATAAGGAGTAGTCTACTTTTACTTTTGGTACGCCAAGTATATTTTGATCAAAATACTTTGTAATTTTGATTGCAGGACTTTTACTTGTAAAAGAGCATTCCTACACTTTGGTAGTTCTACTTTTACTAAAGTACAAGATCTGAGTACTTCTTTTACTGTTACAACTGCCTGGTATTGATGCCTTTGTATTTTAAAAACCATGACCTGAGGCAGTGGATTTGTCCTCCCTGCAGTGCCCCATCCCGCCTGTAGGGGGCGGGCCTCTCTTGCTCTGGACATTACCACGTACGGCGGCGGTGAGGGTGTGGACGTCCCGCAGCATTCAACCCAGAAACATAACGCTGATAATAACTACTAACCGCGTTACACCGCAACAGGCGAATATACCCGGTAAGTTTATCTCATTGGAGGCATATTTCATTTCTATTTGCTCTCTTCAAACCACCAACTTACATCGTTGTGTGTTTATCTCAGTCAAATCAGCGTGAATTGAGAGAAAGGGAGACAGTCTGAGGCGTATAGATAGTTTGTTAGCTTGTTAGCCTGTGTCTCATTTAGTTAACCAGAGGATGCTAGCTAATGCGTGGAGCTTATACACTCACTTTTGGTTTAGTCGGATGTAATAAAACCACATTGTGTTCCTGACAGGAGCTGAAAGCATAACCAGCTTGTTTAATGAGCTATTCCTCTCTGTTAGCTAGTAGCAGAGCAGCTAGTCACACTGCTCGGTGGGGTGAAGTCATTACTCTGACACCAGATTGTTGCTATTTCTGTGTTAACTTATATGAACAAATCACAAAGTCAACCTAAAAGTGGTGTTAAATTGCACTAACATATAAAGTGTTGGCATCCGCCTTACCTTTTTTAAGTTTGAGTGATGGGCTTATTCAAACATTCAGTTATAAATGTATGTCTTTCTTCATATTAATTGTACATTGGCAATTGTGATCCCAGTACTGTGCTAGTGTCATTCCAACTTTTTAAACCCTTTACAATCTGGTGTCTTCAGTAATGTCTTGAAATTAGGCTATGCTTTATATTTAGCAAGCATATCATGTTTTTATCATGGTCCATGTTGTGTGGAATATAAGGAAGTGTATCATTCACACCCTCTACTACAACATCTACCTTGTTTATTAAAAATTCCTTTTAAGAAAGATGACATACTCGCATAGCTTGTTTTTTTCCTAAATGTTCCAAAACTAATTTGCAACATAAGACAGAGAAAAGCAGTACATCATCAGAAATAAGGAAACTGTAACCAGTTGATGTTTTCTATTGTGTGTGATAAATGTCTTAAACAACTAAGTGATTATTGAAACCAGTTACAGATAGATTTTCTGTCAATCAACTAATTGATCAACCACAATACCTTGTTGGTGCTAATAAAAGTATTGTGGATACAAATATGTGTTCACCATGGGTTCTTTTCACACTAACAAAACAGTGTTGTGAGTCACTTTGCTGTAAACTGCACATCCAGCCAGTATTAGGGCGGATACGATTACTCAACACTAGGTTTCTAAGTTGCTGCTATCTTATATTTTAAGTTTGTACAACAGTACATACCACATAGCCTTTATCATCTGGAATCAAACGGCTTTAGTATGCGTTATCAGAGCAACTTCCTTGTTTGTGCCCCCCTTCACAGGGTTGCTGGAGCGCCATTGAGCTTCTTGTGTCCCTCAGTCTCCCAGATGAGGGACTGATGCTGCCCAGGCCCCTGCTGAACCCCTCGGGTCGCCTCTCATCTGTCCCAGCTCCTTTCTGCATCTACTCCCACGGGTGCTGCTTAAGAGGAGGAGAATACACTAACTAAAATGGATGATATCTTCACGCAGTGCCGGGAAGGCAATGCGGTTGCAGTTCGATTATGGTTGGACAATACAGAGAACGACCTCAATCAAGGGTGAGCCAAAGTTATTTAGTTACACCGTAGTGTCGTTTCTTACTTTGAATGTTTAATTTCAAGCCTATATTTCTGGTGCAGGCTGAGAGCCCGCCTTTTCTGTCCCTAGCGAGATAGTGGCTTATGATTGAACTCATTTCCTTTTTGGCACATGTTTATGTCCAGAGTAATTCAGAAACGTGATGTTGGACAGGAAGCCTGCTGTCATGGTAGAGATAGTCACGCTTTCATTTTAATTGAGACCCTTGGAAGAATTAAAATAAAGAGTAAACATACCCTCACACAGATCTGCAGGCTTCTGTAAGATGTGACTTGTTTGTTATACAAAATATCTGTCTGATAGTAACAGATCAGTCCTTCTGTATCCTCAGCTGACTCTGTAAAGAAACACTTGGCAGAGCTTGCCAGTTGTTTTTCATGTTTAGGGCTGTAAAGATTAAAGAAGGATTCATACCTTTTTATAATAAAAAATATAAACATGCAAGAAGTCAGCCATTGCAAGATACCAAATAGCCCTTTTTGGAGCACTTTTGTCCAATTTTTATTTATTGATACAGATATTAAGAAATATTTGTTCGCCTTTTTAATGTCTGTATTGACATTGTGTGCTCAGTTTCCCCTTTCCTTTCATTCAATTCCCCCACTGTTTAGACGGTATGATTGCATCAAGCCAGTGTGTATCCATGCATTCCCAACATGTGACTCGTCCATTAGCTGATTGCATGTCAAGTTCCCTTTTCCGGTTGATATATCTCCCCCAGTGGGTGAAACACATGTATTCTTGCCATTTAATTTCCCTACAGAACATCTACTCATTCCCTTGTTATATTTCAGTAAACCCCCTGTATCTCAGCCTATCAGATATCACTGTGATATTTGCTGTGCTCCTCGATGATGGTGTGTTTACGCTGATGTTACTCCCTGACAGAGAGTAGTAGTGGAATGCTGAATCTCCTTACAAGGAATGACACACAGGCCTCGAGGGAACCTTCTACCACCTACCAAAACTGAGGGAGAGGGGGAGGAGATTCTTATAGTAGGGCCGGGCTCGAAGAATGATGTGTGACGAGACAGAGGATCATTGTGAGTGTGCGTGGGGGGCAAATTGTGAATTTTTCAAAACAGAAATGCAGAGTAAGCCATAGCAGAGGACATCACGTTCCCCTCCTCCACTTATGTTTCTGTTATTCTTCTCCCAGTGGTATTAGATAACTCCGCTCATTTCCGCTCGCCATTTCCTCCCAAGTTCACAAGAGATAATTGCAAAGTTTCTCATAAATGTTTACAATGTAGTTATTCTCTCTTCTGGTCTTCTCTGAATATATTTCAACCCCAATTGTGAGTAATTTTGGTACAAAATATAGTAATGTTAGTATATGATATAGTTTTGCGTTGCATGGAGGGTAACCCATGGTTTAAAATTGAATACATTTGTAAAGCTGAAACCCTAAGGCTAGGGCTGCAACTGACCATGAATCATTTTGTCTTCTAAATGTTAGATAATAGTCCATTTTGCTTTCCTAGTCCAAGACGATGCTTTCAGGTTCCCTTCTTTTGTCCGAACATTGAGCCCAAACCTGTAGATATTCAGTTTGCTGTCGCATAAACAAAAGAGTGCAGCAAATCCCTATCGTTTGAAGTTTAGATTCAGAGGATGCATAACATTTTGTTTGCACAACATGGACTTAATGCTCGATGCATTTCAAAAATAGTTTCTTGATTTATAAATGTGTTGAATAACTGAATATTGATATGCACATTTTCCAAAACATTATAAATAGTTTCAATATATGTTCCAGCCTTTCAAATGTGCAGACTTGCTGTTTCTCCTTGTCTTACAGTTAGGGCTGCTCGATTATGGCAAAACTCATAATCTCGATTATTTGGGTCAGACATGATACAGTACTATACAAATGAATGCAATAACAAAACGAAATATTTGATTAATAATTGAATAATCTGTAGTATCATTGTCTGATATCAATAAACAACAAAGCTTTAGCTAATTACACGTCCGAGAAGGGGTCGGAAGAAGTTTACACTTATTTAATCCGACCCCTTCTCCCTCTTTTTAAAAAAAAAAATTGTTTACACATCTTAATCTTTTAACATACAATATAAATGTATACTTATAATCTTGAATAATTTATATAATCATTCATATAATATATATACAGGCAAGTTAGGAGAATGGTCTCTCTATATATATATATATATATATATATATATATATATATATATATACACAAATTCATACAAACACAAATTCATAAATAGAATACAAAACAAGAATATAAAAACGATTATCCATTTACTTTGAAAACATCAATTTATACAGTATGTTTTGAACAGTTGATTACCCTGAACTTTAAGTACAATTCTTGTAAGTCGCTTTGGATAAAAGCGTCAGCTAAATGCAATGTAATGTAACTGAAAAACCAAAAAAATAAATAATAATAATATAAAAAAATAATCGTTATATTTCGATTACGTTGTTTTCGTAATCGTTGCAAGCCATAATCGTAATTGCGATTTAAAATACGATTAATTGAGCAGCCCTACTTACAGTATAATACATTGAATACAGTATCCTCAAGTTTTTTAGACTGTTGGGCAGACAGTAATGCAACACAAATTGTCAACTTGGACTCCCTGAATTTACGATGCTTAACATTTGAACAAATGAAAAATTGCTTTGCATTGAATACATACTGAAAATAATTTCCTGTTGCTGCACCATTTGAATAATAATAATAGTCTGCGCCCGACGTCTATTCCTGAGTGCCCCGTTTGTGTTGCGTTTAATCTCCGGAGAGGACTGGGGTCAATGCTCTTGTGATTTCTTTGGCTTACAAGTGTGTCATTATGGCTTTGATGGTTATCTGTATTTAGCCTCTGTTTACATTTGCATCCAAAATAAGCCCTGCACATGTGTGAATAATAGTTAGAGCAGAAGACTTTCCTTTTCACTCATCATGTCTTTGGACCGTAGGACAGCACTTATTTTGTATCGAGTTTACCATGCAGGCTCCTTTTCTGGGAAAGAGGTAGATTTACAGTGTGAATGCAGATGTAATCTATACTCTTTGGTGGGGCTGCACGATTTTGTGAAAAAATCGAATTGCGATTTTTCTGACAAATATTGCGATTGCAATTCGAATTGAGATATTTGTTTTTAAGCGACCCAACGGAAGTTTATTGTAAAATGCGGCCATAACTCCGGCTAGGAAGGTCGTATCAACGTGCTCCCGTCTCTAGTAGCCCGAGCTACGAGTGAAAGAACTAAACTTACATGAAACTTCCGTTAGGTTGCTTTAAAGTCAAGCTTCAGTTAAAGATTCACCCTTTTAGATGTAAATCATGTGATGGAGCATTACTAACCTGACTCAGATGCTTTGTTTCACCAAACCATCTAGGAAAGCTCCATTGGAAGCCATTTGGAAAGGGCAGGCACTTTCAAAAGCACTTGGCAGGTGATTGGATCAATCTGTCTATCACCTTCTATCATGGGCCACTTCTGATTGATTAACAATGGCTGGTACATGTGGAGCACAGCACTTCTGATTGGTGTGGATGACTGACACACAAGAAAGAAAAAAAAAAGTGTAAAAAAACCAAATAATAATTGTAAAAAAAAAAAAAAAAAATGTAAAAAAATCGCAGGCTTTGCGATTTAATAATCGCATCATCTCGAATCGCGATTTCGATTTAAAATCGATTAATCGTTCAGCCCTACTCTTTGGTGGGAGCAGCAGTATGTTGCCCTGCAGTGAGAACTACTGCAAGCCGACAGTTCAGAGAGGCTTGTTGGAGCAGGTAGTCGTGTTCTCAGAAGTATCAATGTTAGCACTTTGTGAAACAAACAGATTATCAGATATGCTTTCCACGCTCTGCTAATCTCTCCTATTTCTACAGTCCTTATAGAAGAATTGACTAAACTTAAATCTGTCATTATTCATAACGGGTATATGTTAACATCTGTAGTCTGGAGCTATAGCAAAAGAAAAAGCAACATTATCAGATATAATTATTAAATTGAATTATCATCATAACAATAACAAGTGTTTGTCTGAGAATTATATATTGGCCACACATTAATTAAGCAATCATACACGAGAGGCCGTTCTTTGACGTTAAAGAACGGCCTCAAGTGTATGATTGTGATTCTATAACACAAACTATCATTGTAATCAACAATATCGTAAAATAATTTCATAATGTGGGCTAATTTGCTCCCAAACCTTCACTTTCTGCTTGAGTTAATCTCCGTCAGAAAGTAGTTCCTATAAAGTAGTTCCCTTGGTAACGAGAGCCGATCAATCGAACACTCCTGCTTCCCCGCTTACAGTTATTGATATCATTATAGTAAATAATATATTATTAACCAATTTATTGAAAACAATTTATTGACAACAATTCTTGAATTAGGCTATTTATTTATTTATTTACATATTTAACATTTTGGCTTCAGAATGAAGGTGGATGTTCATGCTGCCATTAAACGTGCAATTTTTGAAACAACTCATGAACTCCATGCCAGACTTTTTTGCAGTTGGTGCTGTGGTGTTCACGGAAGAGCTTTCCTCCAGTGGCCGTTTGGCGTGTCCCGGACCGGCAAAAAGCGCGTTGCTCCACATTTTTCTGTTGTCCAGATGATAACTATAAAATCTGACATTTTGTAGCTAACGATTTTCCAACGAGAGACAATGTAACAATGTAACGGCTGTGTGTCGCTATGGAAACCACTACTTCTCCGCTGCTTTCTTGTTCCAGTTTGCAGTTAGCTTTTGAATTGTGGTACTTTTCCAGTTGGTCTACCTGCTCTTCACGTAGCTCTGCATGTTGTCGTTTAGGTGCTTTTTTTTCTAGGCACTCCTCAATCCAGTCCTCCACAGTAAGACCCCCCCCGGAGGTTGAAGTTAATCTTAAATGTTTCCATATTATGTTTGGAAGTTTGTTTCGTAACGTAAAAAGGAGGGTTTCTGCCCGTTACTTCTCCGCTGCTTTCTTGTTCCAGTTCGAAAAGCAAACTGCAAGCAGTTTGCTTTTCAGGCCAAGGGTATACCGTTTTTTCTCAGACGCGGAGGGATACTGACTTGTTGTGAAAAGGCACGTTCTATTTGACCGTTCTTTGATCGTGGAATCAAACACGCCTATTGACCAATCAGAGAGCTTGCTCACACCTATGTGTTATAGAATTAAGCAATCAGTCCGTACGCCTGTACTGGAGTACCAATAATGACGTTAAAGAACGGCCTCAAGTGTATGATTGCGATTCTATAACACAAACTATCATTGTAATCAACAATATCGTAAAAATAATTTCATAATGTGGGCTAATTTGCTCCCAAACCCTTGGTAACGAGAGCCGATCAATCGAACACTCCTGCTTCCCCGCTTACAGTTATTGATATAATTTTATTACATGGCTTAGTTGAATACTCGATTCTGATTGGTCAATTCAGAACACGTGACACGTTGTTAATACCGAACAGACAGACCGCTGTCAAGGACTTATTGACCGTTGTTAAGGACGCTCACATCTTCAGAAAGAAGTCCGGTCGATTTAACTGTATACCGTTGGGCCGAAAAGCAAACTGCATGTAGTTTGCTTTTCGAACTGGGACACGAAAAACAGCGCAGAAGTAACGGGGCAGAAACCCTCCTTTTTACGCAGCGGTCCAGACATAGACATCAAACGGCGACACATATTCAGTTGCCAGTTACTTTGGCATTAGGGCAGGGATATCTAGATACTTTCCAAGGTTTGACATCATGAATTGTGCTACTTTTAAAGCAAGGAGCGATGTTTTCAAATCTGTAATCAAAAAGCTCCTCAAAAACGCAAGCAGTTCCTACCGTTGGCTTTTCAAACTGACAAGAGACGCTCTAACTGTTTTTCAAATGTAACAGTTTGAAAAGCAAACTGTCTGATTGTCTTTAGTTTTCCGCTGTTGTGTGATAGCAACATGGAGGATTTTAACATTAATTTGAATATATTTGGAGAGCACAGTAATTTGGAGTAATGGTTAGTGGCTGATGAGTCCCCAGTGAAGAAAAGAAAAAGACAAGAGGGACAAGAAAACAGCGGAGAAGTAACGGGCAGAAACCCTCCTTTTTACGCAGCGGTCCAGACATGGACATCAAACGGCGACACATATTCAGGTGCAGTTCCTTTGGCATTAGGACAGGGATATCTAGATATTTTCCAAGGTTTGACATAATGAATTGTGCTACTTTTAAAGCCAGCAGCGATGTTTTCAAATCTGTAATCAAAAAGCTCCTCAAAAACGCTATCGAAGCACTTCTGCCGTTGCTACGTTAGTTCAAACAGTAACAACGGACAATTTTTCTTAGCGGATGCATGTCAATTTAAATCAATACAACTATTTTTTAAATCAATAAAATAATTTTCTAAATCCATAAAAGCATTTCAATTAATATTGGGATTCATAATGTTACTTTGTTGAGAATGTGGCCATGTAATAAGCGGGATAATGTGCAGCAACTTGGTCATTATGGGGAAAATAACACCTTCATGCCGATCTAGATCCCTCCGCTTCGCGTCGGGCTCCTGATCAGCCTGTCGGTGTTCTTTTCCCCATAATGACCGCATTGCTACACATTATCCCTTACGTGTATGGATGTGCTAATTAATAACACTTCAGGCCCCGATCAGCCTTTTCATTTTGGGCATCTGTGAATATCGAGTCCAATGCCATACTTTTATTTATTAAATAATGAGTTTTGACTGCATCTGGCTCGTTGAAACAACAGCTGGTGTGCTACTTAATCTGACAAACCTTATTTTTCTTAAATTCCTCAATACAGGATCCCTTAGAAATGATCTTTGTCTAAGGCAAAGGAAAGCAATGAAACACTAGCAACAAGATCAGATTTTGCAGGATTTTATATATAGGATTTTATTTATATTTTTCCAGAGGTGACAGAATAAATAATAGAAGGCCTGTGATATTTTATTTCTCTGAAGTAAAATTATTGTGCCATTGTTTTCTTTTTAGTTGTCAGATGTTGGTGTGATTTAGTTTACCCTCCCTCAGGCGTGCTATGGAGCGGAGGGGGGGGGAAGTCTGGGCAGAGACAAACAGGGTCCAGACAGGGGCTCTTCCTCTGGATCTCTGCCTGCCAAACTGAGCACTGTTGGCAGGTGGAAGTGCCTGAAATAAATGACCACAGCTAGTGAGGAGGGGGAGAGCAGGAGGAAAGCCTGGCACTCCAGAGCCTCTGGGGTGTGGGGATGAAGCTAGCTTAGAGGGAAAATCCTATATCCTATAAAAAGGGTCTCCGAATGAAAATGCACTCAGGAAACCAGAGGCCTCAGATGATGTGTTGGAAGTACATTTGCAGCACTTGAATGTGGATTGGGGCACTTGTATTGTTAGTCATTAGCAGATAAATAAATGATGCACTTTTTTTACCATTTGCAAAAAACATTGTCATTCAAGGTTCAAGGCTTTTATTGTCATACGTACATAGCTACAGTGTAGTTATGACGATGAAAATCTTAGGTCACAGGCTCCTCCAACAGTGAAACACAATAAAACAGAGAAAAATAGTGCAAGGAAATACAAAAGAAAAATAGTTTAAAAAAAGTGAAATAGTGAAAAATGATTACATTTCTCAAAAAATAAAGACACAGGCATAACAAAATGCTGATGATGTTTCAGGCACATCATACCTTTTTATAACTTTTTATAATTATTTTACGTATTAATGTGCAATTGATTGATTGGTCGATACATCAGATGGTGAATGAATATCAGCATAAGTTCCCCAAGAGTCCAAGATGATATCAAATGTGTTATTTGGTCCAACCACTACACCAACACTAGTTATCGGATATAAGTTAACAATGACATAAAATAGTAAGCCATCGAATCCTCAATTCAAAGGAGCTGAAACCAGACAACTACTGGAGGCAGGGATTGATACAAGATTGTTTACATCACGTTTTGGTTGTCATACAGATGAGCAGGATGGTACATTTGTTTATGTGTTGACTTCATAACTTTACGTCCTTTCTTAAACAGTGTTCAGCTCAACACAGAACTCTAATAACATGAGAGAAGTGAGGCTCTGGGGAGTGTCCCTCTCATAAACTTACACTAATTCAGTTTTGGGGATTTGGCCTTTTTGTCTGAGAGGAAATTGCTCCGAGGACAAATCGGATGTGACTGCAGCAGGTCACCCAGATGCACAGACAGATGTGTGTTGTGGGACTGAGGGTCTCTGTGGGGCTCTTGATGCTGCTTTGAGCAGAGCTTTGCAGGAAGTGTGAATACAAGCCAGTGAATTGATGGCGGGGGCAAAGGGTTCAGATTCCTGCAGATTCATAATACTCCCTTAGTTCTCAGATCACATTATTATGCTATACGCCTAGTCATCATTGCTGAGTAGATGCATAACTTTATTTTTAGGGTTTATGCTGTGTAGCACAAACAATAGAGCCCATACGGAAACGGAAGGTGTATGGAAAGTGGAATATGTCATCATTGCAGTTCAGTTTCAGTGACACTGAGATGGAAAGGATGGATGTGAATGAGAGAATAAAGGAGTGTCCACAGGAGGTCAGAGTAAAATGACACCATCGCACACAGCAGCCTGAGTGCATGTGTGTGCAGCGCTGCTGAAGGAGGTCTTACAGGGCCTGCTGCAAATATTCAACCTACTGTTTTTATCTTATTTACTCTTTTTTCCGATTGTTTCTCTTTCACTCAGCCCTTATTGTGTTGCTGCCTGTGTCCTGAGGCAAAGAGGACTGATGGTTGATGTGCTGTTTCAGTCTGAATTGCATCAACTTCCTTTTTCTGAGGAGGATACCAAATGAACAAATTCCTCATTTTGTGATCTCAAAGCCGAGTCCCTCTCAAATGAATGCAAAACAACATAATGCTGTAGTTTTAGATATAAACTGGCAACTGATAGTATCCAAGGAACATCTAGCTTACTATTAATACGGTCTTATACCTATTTCCTTAAAGTTATAACATTTGTGTTGATTTAACTCTGATGATTTGTTGGCTGTATTGCTGTGTCGTTGACTTGTATGGCGCATAGCATTAAATGCTGAGGAGACCTAATAAAAGTACTTATTGCTGACTCATGACATACTTAGAAGAACTTCAGGACAGGCAAATTAAGATGAAAAGTCCTTTCTATGTAAAAAGTATTTTTGTCGGTGAAACCTGTGCTGAATATAAATGTTCTCTCTGTAGAGATGACCACGGCTTCAGCCCGCTGCACTGGGCTTGCAGGGAGGGCCGCTCCAGCGTGGTGGACATGCTCATCATGAGAGGGGCTCGCATTAACGTCATGAACCGGGGGGACGACACGCCCCTACACCTGGCCTCCAGTCACGGACATCGCGAAATCGTGGGAAAGGTGGGGTTCATGTACACACTGGGGCACGCTCCTTTGGTCATCCTTTAAAATGCTCTTATAACTGTTCAAGTTTGCTTCATAAACCCAGGATATTATGAAACCTCAAATGATGTCATCCCAAGAGCAATTACAGATGCAGAGGTCTTGTCTGTTCTTGCAGTTCCACCATAAGAAATGTCAAACTGCAGGGATGAGGGAGATGTAGCAATGTTTCAGTGTTGATGTTTCACTGGCTGCAACTACAGTTTACTTTTACCCCTGTCAACAAGTTATTTATAAAGAGAAGACGTTATCTATAGCTGATTCTGTGGCTAGTCTTGATTCGCCAAGATAAGTTTAAATAGTTCACCATTTAACAGCATTTGTGCACATTAGCTGCAATATGGTGATCCATTCCCTGATGCTCTGTGTTTGCACAAGCTGCACGACATGCTCCACATTGGTATACTGTCTGACCTGTTGAAAGGCTTTTTAACCATGCAGTGCATTGAACGCAGCTTCCTGCCAGACTTTTGTATTTGAAGACATTGACTTCAGTCTCCAAAAAGAATATGAAGAGATATTGTAAGCGTTTTGTATGCCAGAATGTGAAGCCTCTGCTCTGGGGTGTCTGATTTAGATTTGCTGCCACTCAGGTATTGAGTTTAATGTTAGGTATGTCTCAATACCTCTGGTATGTGTCCACAGGCGAGACAAACTTCCAGGATTTTTGTTGCCAGCATTAACACTCATCCCTGTATACAGCCCAAACAAGATCTGACCAGCCTTGTTTTGCTATGAATCCTTTGTTTCTGCTTCCCTTTCAGCTGATTCAGTGCAAAGCAGACACTAATTCAGCCAATGAGCACGGGAACACACCACTGCATTATGCCTGCTTCTGGGGCCAAGACCAAGTGGCTGAGGTGAGTGTGCCCCCTGGTGGAATTAAATAAATGTTATGTTTAATAACTAATAACAAACTATTAAAATGTAGCTAACAACAATTCCTCCTTTCACGTAGGACCTTGTGACTAATGGGGCTCAGGTGAGCATCTGTAACAAATATGGGGAAACGCCCCTGGACAAAGCCAAACCACACCTGCGTGAACTCCTCGGAGGTATACTGACCCCTCTTTACCACCTCCCTCATTTCAACAGTTTCAGCTTCCTTTTTGATTGTCTTTGTGTTCAATTTTCTCATTGCACACTTTTCCTTTATCAACCAGAAAAAGCTGAGAAAATGGGACAGAACTTGGCTAAGATTCCCTTCAAGGACACGTTCTGGAAAGGCACCACCAGAACTCGACCCCGTGAGTCCACCACACAAACCTGTTCTTTAACTGAAGTTTCCATCAGTCAATATACATGTGGTGTTTGAAATGTCCACTGCTTTTTGTCTGTATTGTGCTGTTTCACATTTCACATCGATTGTGTGTTTTTAGGCAATGGCACTCTGAACAAACAAGCAGGCATTGACTACAAACAGCTCTCTCTCCTGGCTAAAGTGAACGAGAACCAGTCTGGAGAGGTACTTCTGATCTTATTATTTTACTATTCTGAATTGTTATGCCAAGGTACAAGCATTCATTTCACCTTTTCTTTATTTAATTCTTGTCTGTAGCTGTGGCAGGGACGCTGGCAAGGAAATGAGATTGTTGTTAAAGTGCTTAAAGTTCGTGACTGGACCACAAGAAAAAGCAGAGACTTCAACGAGGAATATCCAAAACTCAGGTTATTATCTAATCCTGAATTTTGTGCAGACTACATGTTGTGGCCACTCATTTGTCTGTTTTCATTGTGTTGATCTGACCGTTATGTCTTATATTTTGGAGGGCTTGCATCTCACACAAGACGTCTGTTTATGTCAAATCCTCTGGGTTTCTGTCTGTCTGTCTGTCTGTCTGTCCCTCCCTCTTGGGCTCCATCCCAGGATATTTTCCCACCCGAATGTCCTTCCTATGTTGGGAGCATGTCAGTCTCCTCCCGCCCCTCACCCCATCATCATCACACACTGGATGCCTTATGGCTCCCTCTACAACGTGTTGCATGAAGGCACCAGTGAGTATTCCTGCTCTGGTCACAATACCTGTACTTGGTTTTTGTGATTTATTGAGCATTTGTCATTGTGTCACCATCACTTTGGTACAGTAGTACCAACAATTACATATTGTTGAGTTGTTGAAGTAAGGGTGGCTAATATCTGTTATGATTTGTCCCTCACTGTGCTGTCAGACTTTGTGGTGGACCAGACACAGGCGGTGAAGTTTGGGCTGGACATTGCTTGTGGAATGGCCTTCTTGCACACACTCGAACCCATGATCCCTCGCCACTATCTCAACAGCAAAAGTGTTATGGTAAGAAGAAGTGGTGGGTTATTTTTGGATCATAAATGTATAAACTTCCCTTTCAAAGAACAAAAAACCCCCTCATAATTCTGTTTCTCTTCAAAGTGACATCTCTGTGTTCTTGTTTCCACAGATAGATGAAGACATGACAGCCAGGATCAGCATGGCAGATGTCAAGTTCTCCTTCCAGTGTCCTGGCAGGATGTACTTGCCTGCATGGGTAGCCCCCGAGGGTAGGCATCTTTCATACAGCACAGATCCAGAGTGGCAGCTGAAGACACAAGGGTGTATGATGGATGCAGGATTCTAGACTCTCAGAACTAAATATAATATACAGCAGATTTCCCCCCAAGATACGGGGAAATCCAAGAGACATGAACTGATCACAGTACGTGAAAATAAACAGGGATCCACAGAAAAGGTTTTATGTTCACAAAACAGTGCATGGAGCATGATGGCGCTTCCTGCATGAGATATAGGAGTCTTGTTACCATAGCAACACCTACATACAGTCTAGGTATAGTGGGTAGTGATCCGTGAAATTGAGAGCGCGAGAGTGGTGGTATTGATAAGACACAAATGTACATTTTTGGCTGATATGAAGACTTTCTGTAGGCCTTATCTTCAGCATGAATGTCTTTGTAACAGTTATACAGATTGCAACAATATATTATTCCAACAAAATTGTTCTATGATAGAATGTTTTTTTGTTATCACCTACTGGGATGAAATCATAGTTGTACAGGAAAAGGAGCTTGAGATTCAATGTTGATACAAAGATACTGAGGTCTGTCAGTCACTTGTATTGCTGCGACAACAACATAATATTTCTTTTTTATAGCCGATGGCATTTCAAAATAATCTTAATTTTAATTTGGTAAGACTACAGGACCAACTCATGTGGATAGTGTGGTTATTTGCCACTTCTTAGATCACCTCCTCAGTAACCAAGATATACTGTAGGTTACTGAAGAATATACAAATTGTAAAGCCATTTCTTTGTAACGCTTTATGATGAACTAAATATAATGGGTTCTTCCGTTCACCGTGCTACACCCTTCCACCAAGTATAATGAATATCTCGCAAGGAGATTTCCCTGCTGACAAACAAACGGAGCCAAACGCATAGCCTCCTTAGCTCATAATAACGGCAGTATCACAAGTACTCTTTTTCAGATGTTAGCATTTTAAACCTAAAAAATGTTAAACCAGTTGTGTTTTCATTCACTTTCCAGTAGAATTTCTGCATTTCAACCCAATATTAACAAACCTGTGTTCACCTGAATCGAAGTGTAGAGAAAGGCAGCTCCAGTGTGTTTGCCTGATGTTCATTTGTTGCCCTGTTGTGATACCCAGCCCTGCAGAAGAAGCCAGAAGAGATCAACCGTCGGTCATCAGACATGTGGAGCTTTGCCATCCTGCTGTGGGAGCTGGTGACCAGAGAAGTGCCGTACGCTGACCTCTCCAACATGGAGATTGGCATGAAGGTTAGCACATCTTTCTCTAACTCATTATATTATCAGCTGAGTAGAATAACTCATAGCTTTAATGCCATTAGGAATATATTTCATGCTTAACCAAACATTTTGTCTGTTTTACTATCAGGTTGCCTTGGAGGGTTTGAGGCCCACTATCCCCCCTGGCATTTCGCCCCATATTTGCAAGCTCATGAAGATATGCATGAACGAGGACCCAGCAAAGAGGCCCAAATTTGACATGATTGTGCCAATTCTGGAGAAAATGCAGGACAAGTGAAACTCCTCCTCTTCCCTCCTGTACTGAACCGTTGCATTAGAGGATATCTTGTCCCAAATGTCCCTCTGATATATTGGTGTGGTGCTTGCCAGTATTGCCTTAAACTCTCGCTTTCTGCTGCATTCAACACCACTGTAGCTTCAGCTTCTGAGATGAATTCAGCAGCAGTCACGTCTTGTACGCCTTTGTTCTTTCCTTTTTTTTTCAATGTGACATCAAGTTTTTATTATTACTGTCTTCATCTATGTCACTGATTTGCTGTCTTCACAGGAGTTTGTGTTGACTGTTCATCCCTAACTGTAATCATGTGATTGAGTTATATCCTCTTATAGACTGAATAACCTGTGGAGGTCAGCATGACAGACTGCAGCACTCCTTCGGTGGATGTAAGGCCTTGTTTTTCTTACCTGGAGTGTGCTTGCCTTGTAAGGAAACTGCTCCTCTATAATGTTGGCCCCTAATAAATCAGATAACATATTAACTCAAAGCTTGTCTTGTGGGAAAAAGTAGTTGTGTTGGCTACAAACTGTATGCAACTGGGCAAGCATGACGCATGTCTGAAACCAAGCATTTAAACAATATATCAGATTATAAAAATGTTTATGAAAGAGTGATGCCTGTGAAAGTACTTAGCAGTAATACCTTTCAGCTTGGCTGTGTTGTGATGTGTTTAAGCCTGACCGTAAACTGCTGACAGTGATGTAAAACTGCCCATAGAAACTTTATTTTCATGCACGAAAAATGGCAATTTTGGGCAGATTACTTTTATATGGATTGCAAGATTGCTAATTTTCTTGTTGATTGCTATCATGTAATGTAATTAACTAGAAGACTCAAAGGTTATCTACTTATTCTCATTTCACTCCCTTCAAAATTTTAACGTTTTTATACGATCAAATACTGTTGGCTGTACTTTTTTCACACCGAGTATAATCTCCTCAAAATGTCTAAAAGTGTTTGTGCTCAACTCACAAGTGTTTTTTTTTCTTGCTGAAAGCTGGCTGTGTCGTTAGGAATTAATTCTGCAACTGAGATAATTTATTCGTAGATATCAAAGATACAGTATGTTGTGCTTAATGGTTGTGCTTTCGAGCAATGGACTGCCTTTCTTACAAACTTTACGGCGACATCAGAAGAAGCTGCCAACAGATGGTGACTGGGACAAGGAGCGGGGGTGCTAACATCCTGCAAACCTTCATTTTGTTTTCTCACGTGTTTTTATTTCTTTGGTCCTCTACATTACTTCTGACTTTCTTTCAATCTTGTGGGTTTTTGTTCTACCTGCATCGTCCATGTGCCTACACCAGCTGGCTTATTTGTGCTGAATCACAGGTTGAAGCCAAAATCAAGAATGACTTTCACAAATGTATGTATTTATATATAAGTATATTAAAAAGAAAAAATATGGGCAACTTGATTGTGTGAATTCATATTGTAAATCTGATGATTTTGAGAAGTTTGGCAAAGGTGAACCAACACATGAATAATTAGAATAAAACATCACATTTTAAAAATAGAAACACAATATCAGGCCAATGAAATGTAACTAGGCTACTGATATTTCCTTCAATGTGGAATAGTGCTTTTCTGATATATTTAGGAAATATGAATAATCACTGATTTATGGCAATACGGATTAACAATAACATATAATCTAATATATTTTATATATATTCGGCCTATTTAAATGACTATTTACATAAGAAACCAGTAATTTAAGATGCCATACAAGTATAGTGGAGTAAAAAGTGCAAGTTTTCCCTCTGAAATCAAATGAAACACAGCAAATGCATAAACCAATAGTGGCAAAGAAACATAACAAAGGGATGTCAACTTTGGACTATTCAATATCCGTTCTCTTACGACCAAGGGTCCTCTTCTCCAAGATCTCCTGACTGATCGTAAGTTTGATTTTCTCTGTTTGACAGAAACGTGGCAACAACCTAATGACTTTTCACAGCTGAATGAATCTACTCCTCCTGGGTTTGTTTACATCTGTCAACCCCGTGCCACCGGCAGAGGGGGAGGTCTCGCGATTATTTACCGTGAGAGTTTGAAAGCCTCGTCTGTATCCGTGCCTATTCACGGCTCATTTGAATCAATTGCCTTACAACTCAATGGGCCTATCCCTACCATAGTTGCAAGCGTCTACCGTCCACCTAAGCTTAACAATAAATTCATAAACGAATTTGCTGCTTTTCTCACACATCTCTGCTCACTCTTACCTAACATAATAGTGCTGGGAGATTTTAATATACATATGGATACTGTCAACAATACTCTCACAAAGGACTTCACATCTTGCCTGGACAGTTTTGGATTACAGCAACATATCGATTTTCCGACTCATTCCAAAGGACATATTCTGGACTTGATCTGCTGTTCTGATGTCACTCCTCTTAAATGCACTGCAACTGATCTTCCCATTTCTGATCACTCATTAATATCCTTTACTGTCACCTTAACACTGTCCAAACTAAATTTGTCACGTGTTATTTCCTTCCGCAACATCAAGGATATTAATTTAACTACACTCTCCAGTGGCATTGACAACCTCCCCAGCATAAATTGTTCATCCCCGCCTGATGAACTGGTTTCTCATTACAATAACAATCTTCATAAACTGCTCAATACCCTGGCTCCTTTAAAAACCCGGTCTGTTTCCTTCACCCATTCTGCTCCTTGGTTTACACCTGAACTACGCCAACTCAAAACAAAAGGGCGTCGATTGGAACGCCTCTGCAAAAAAACTGGACTTGTCGTTCACAAAGAGATGTACAATAACCACATTCTCCACTACAAGGACAGTCTCTCTTCAGCCAAATCATCATACTATGCAGTTATCATCAGCTCGGGCGAAGGGAACATAAGGGTCCTGTTCTCTACAGTGAAGAACATTCTACGACCACCGGACTCTCTTGCACCTCATCAGTATTCAACTGCCTGTAACTCCCTCATGTCATTTTTTAATGACAAAATAGAAAACATCCACCAGCAACTAACTCCTAACACCACCTGCAGTATATCTCTCCCTGTTTTCACCGACCATCTCTCTCATTCTCTTTCAAGTTTCACACTTCCCTCTGCTGTTGTAATATGACCTCATCAGTAAATCCAAGCCATCTACCTGTCAGTTAGACCCTCTTCCTACCCCCCTGGTAAAAGCCTGTCTACCTTCATTGTCCTCCCTTATTACTGTCATCATACATTCCTCCCTCACCTCTGGTCTTGTTCCCTCACTTTTCAAATCAGCCGCCATCACGCCCATACTGAAGAAACCTGGTGCAGACCCCAACAACTTTAATAACTACCGTCCCATATCTAACCTACCATTTCTCTCAAAAATCCTGGAAAAAACGGTTGCATCCCAAATCCATACCCACTTGTCTGACAATAACCTGTACGAACAATTTCAATCTGGTTTCCGCCCCCATCACAGCACAGAAACAGCACTGGTGAAAATCACTAACGACCTCCTCATGGCAGCTGACTCCGGACTATTAACTATCCTCATCCTCCTTAATCTTAGTGCAGCTTTTGACACCATTTCCCACAGCATCCTCATTGACAGACTGACCTCCATCGGGATCACTGACACACCCCTCCTCTGGTTTAAATCATATCTCTCTGGCCGCACTCAGTTCATCCAACTCAAAACCTTCAAATCACAGCCACTTCCAGTCACGACCGGTGTTCCCCAGGGCTCTGTCCTGGGGCCTCTTCTTTTTATCATCTATTTACTTCCTCTTGGCAATATCTTCCGTAAACACAACACCACTTTCATTGCTACGCGGATGACACCCAGCTCTACTTGTCCTCCAAACCAACCACCATCCTCCCTCCATCCTCCCTGTCTGACTGCTTACAGGACATCAAATCCTGGTTCTCCTCTAACTTTCTCAAACTTAACGACAGTAAAACCGAGGTTCTCCTCATTGGCACAAAATCCACCCTAACCAAACCTGACAGTTTCTCCATTACTATAGACATTACATTACATTACATTTAGCTGACGCTTTTATCCAAAGCGACTTACAATAAGTACATTCGACCAGGAAGACACAACCTTGAAGAAAACAGAATCATATAAGTACATCAGGTTTCATAGAGCCAAACATTTCAAGTGCTACTCAACTGGCTTTAGGTAAGCCAGTCCTTTATTAGTATAAAAGTGCTTCGTTAATAGTTCTAATGCTCGAAGTGGAGTCGAAAGAGATGAGTTTTCAGTTTGACAACTCTTCAGTCTCCCCCTCCCCTCAGGTTAAGAGTCTGGGTGTCATCCTCGACGGCACACTTTCATTCAAATCTCACATCAGTAATATCACTCGGTCTGCCTATTTCCATCTACGCAACATCAACCGCCTCCGCCCGTCCCTTAACCCTAAAACCACCGCCATTCTTGTTCACACCCTGGTCACTTCCCGCATCGACTACTGCAACTCCCTTCTCTTTGGTCTCCCTCTCAAATCCATCCACAGACTTCAACTGGTTCAGAACTCTGCCGCCCGCATCATCACCAGAACCCCCTCCATTAACTACATCTCTCCTGTTCTTCAGCAGCTTCACTGGCTCCCCGTCAAATCCCGTATCGTTTTTAAGATTCTACTCCTCGTCTTTAAGGCCATCCATAACCTCACTCCTCTGTACCTCTCCGACCTCCTGCACATCAACACACTCATCCGCACACTCAGATCTTCTGCTTCCCTCAGCCTCACTGCACCCCCCTTCCGTTTAACCACCATGGGATCTAGAGCCTTCAGCCGCTCTGCACCCCGCCTCTGGAACTCCCTCCCACCTGACATCCGCAACACTGACTCTCTCCCCATTTTCAAATCACGCCTCAAAACATATCTCTTCACACTCGCATATCCACCCTGATCATTATCCATCACACATCCTCTATTTTATTTATTTTATTTGTTATATACTGCATTGTCTTGTTTATGTCTCTTATGCTGGTGTTAGGTATTGTGTATCTTGTTTTTTATGTGTTTGTACGGCGACCTTGAGCCTTGAAAGGCGCCTATATAAAATAAATGAATTATTATTATTAAGTTATACAAAGGTTTATTAAAAAAGAAGCAAGTTAAAACAGTTATATCAATGTTTATACCATTTAATCAATTCATTATTGCCTAAATGTATTTGTGATTGCCTAAATGTAATGGTATAACATGTAGTAGCCTAATGTAATGATGTATTATGCTATGGTATTATGAAAGAAATGCATTGGGCTTGGTGGATGATGATGATGATACATGCAGCACCGGAATAATGTCCAAAAAACATACAGTAACTTTTATTCCATGAATTCCCGCTCCTGCTCTGTGCCTGAGAGGCAGCAGTGAGACGGTCGGTGACGTTTCCGTGACGCAGGTTCAGCCTCCATCCCTGGTCGAGCCCACTGACAGAAAACACCACCTAGAAACGACGCGAGGCCTAGCGAGTTACGGAAATATGTAGTAAGCTCACACAGTTAAGCATATTTCGACAACTGGGGGTTTGGTGGAGCTGGTAAGTACACATTCTTAACATAAGGTTGATAAATAACTGTCATTGCGTTTTGCTGTGATTTAGCATTGGGGCTAACATTAGCCTAGCCTAGGTGACGACGGTGATGATGGCCGATGGATCCCGTTATATCCAGCTGCGGCGATGGCATCAGAATACTATTGCTGTATTTCAATATGCAGTCTGCTATTAAAACTGTATTCAGTTAAAAATCATCTAACAGATAATGTACGTAGCTTCTTACTATCGTTTTGATAAGAGGTCGTGTTGGCAAATGAAAGGTGAAGCTGCAGAAGTACGTTTGATATTCGTTGGGAAAATTCTACAGTGAAAGTAACCGCAGTGTTGGCCTACCCGGAATAGTCGAAACAGAAACAGACTTTAATTTCCAGACCCTAATGTTGCTAGCTAGTTGTTTCACAGCCAGTGTAACTCGCACATTTAAGCGATATTGATGTTGTAAACGCATTTAAAATATTCATTTCCTTGAACTTTGACGAGTAACTCTGTCTGAATCGTGCCCGTTTTAGCCTGCTCGCTAGCATGCTAACGGTAATGCTAATACATCTCAACCTCTTCCTCCATCAGCACTTTACTACGTTACATGAGAAGTTAACATGGGGGGCCATGATGATGAAGATATGCCATATGTTGTGAATAAACAAAAACACGACGAAGAGCTAAAGAACAAGCTGAATGACAGCAGTCACTGGTGCGAACAGGAGTCTACTGGCAACAATGCTAAGTGGGTTAAAGAAGGCCAGAACCAGCTGCGGAAAGTAGCTGAGAACCATCAAGACCAGGACCACAACTGCAACATCAGCCAGAATGGGAACAATGAGGACTTCCCGCATCAGAACACCACTCAGGAAGAACAGCAAGGAAACGAGGAGCAGAACAA